CCACAGATCAGTTTGTTCACCAGCATCACCACGGGAAGCACCCGGCTGCTGCTCCGCAGCGGGAGGCAAGAGGTATTTTTGGTTTCTAGTTGTTATTTTAGTGTTTTAGTTGGGTCTAGAATTCTGAACTGTCTTTTAGTAGCTGTGGCATCGCACATGCCGTTTTTAACCATTTAAGAAGAGATAGTGTGGGCATTTACAGAAACAGCTTGTTGCTCTGTAACAATTTTTTTTTTTAACCTTGAGACTTGAAATGTAAAATGGACCTTTAAGATTTGCACTCATTTGTAAGGTGGCTGTTCATAGGGAACTATGAATGAAGACTTGCTGATGTAGCACCTACTTTTAACAGCAATTTTAACTACACAAAAGCTTCACGGCTTCTGAAACTCTCAGCTGTTGACTTGCAGATCCTGTTCTGCCCTTATTTCACCCTCTGCGTTGGGTTTTCCTGGTTTTGAATAAATAAAAAAAAGAAAAAAAAAGCCAAACTCAGTAGCTGCTGTGCCCTTTAAACCCTCTTTCCCTGTGGCAGAGGTTGAGGAGGGGGTTGCGTTACCCGCATGTTTTCTCTGGGGGACTGTGCACCGCACCCTCCGCGCTCAGCACTTCCACCCTGCTCTTGGCCCAGATGCAAACCAGTAACTGCATGTTGAGGTGCTGTGCGTTTTGCTACCCCTAGCAGCTAGGTGTTACCCCCCTACCTATCAGGATTTGTAGTTACCCACAGCCCCCTCCCCTCCCCGGACACCCCAATGGCTCCCCCCTCTCTGCCTTCTCCACGTGTTCCTCCTCCAGCTGCAGACGCGGCCAGGGCAGGCGGTTTTGGGGGAAGAGGAGTGTACCCGAGTCGTTGAATGCTGTTTCTTTCTCTTGTCTCATCTCTGAGGGTGCTGGGGGGGGGTGGGAGGGCAGAGACCCCCCTGCCCAGCGCCGTGGCAGAGCCCCCCCTGCCCAGTGCCGTGGGGGGCGTTCGGGGCGCTCCGGATCCCACGGCCCCGTGTCTTGTGTCCGAAAGCCCAAGCGTTCAACGTTGCCTCACGGAAGGTTTTTCTTCTTGGAAAATTAGCGTGAAATAAAAGAATGTGATTGTTTCGGGAAGGAAGGGAAGCCAGACAGCAGGACAGCAATAAAACAAGTGAAATCCATATCTTGCCTGAGTGATTTGCACTTCAATAGTTGTGAAAGGAAATTGAGGGGACTCCAGTGCTTTTGTGTTCAATTTCTAGCCCCTTTCGTACCTCCTTTATACGAGCAAGTGTGGAACTGTACCTGGGGTGTTCGCAGGACACTCCCTTTGGGTTGTTATTTTTCTTGTGGGTTTTTTTTTTCGCTTTAGCTTGAGCTCTGTATGGTCCATTTGTTAAATAACCGTGAGCAGTCGATGTACAGAACTGACTAAACAAGCAGCAGCACAAAACTTATTTTATTAAGAAAAATATGGCTTATATTTTAAAGGTTGAATATCAGTTGGGGGTTTTTTTGTATGCGTGGAATTAAGACTGGGAAAGAGTAACAAAATCCTTGAATTAGGCCAAAAGAAAATACTGTAAGATCATAACCACCTCTTTATTAAAGACAATGGTATGATTAAAGAGCTCCAGAACATTGTATTTATATTTGATTTGATTGCCTTTGGGGATTTTTTTTATTTTATTTTTTTTTGCCTTGGTCCTGATTTCTGCTTGCAACTCTGACTTTGCAGTCCCAAGTGTCTGTTACCCTGTAACTGTTGGCAGAAGACCTAAATAAAAGCAATGTGAACACATTGGGGTGAGGCTGCTGTGCCAGATTGTGTGGGGACGGGCCCGGCCGCTCACCCAGAGGGGCTTGGGGTCGAGGGGTGAAACACTGGTACCGTGGAGGGTCCAAACCCCCTCCCTTTCCAGATCTCAGTTCAATGAAACGCTTCAGCGAGCACATCCGTGCATAAGAGTTGGTGGAATAGGGCAGCCCATTCCGCTTTTTATTCATCCAACTGAAAACTCACTTCATTTGAGCTCCTGGGGTTATTAAATATCAGAGCGTTCAGCAAAATGCACCTCTTCCCCCCGTGCTCCGGGGGCTGCAAAAGGCCGTTGGCTCCCAGGTGCTTTCAGGACAGATTTTGGGGCTAATCCCGATCATGAGAGTTTCTGTGCTGCATCATGTTTTATATTTGCCTTGGAATTCCTTGCAAACGTCCTGCAGCTGACGGGGTGTCCCAGGGCCCATCCTCTGGGCTCCTCGGCTTCACCCCGCAAACGTGTCTCCTCGTTCCTGCAGAGGATGAATTATTGAGCAGCGGAGCCGTAGCCGTGGGTTTTTGAATAATGCTAAGCAATTTTAAGGAAGCGCTTGCTAATGGCATGCACGTGCTCGTTAGCTAATTGACTTGGGCTGTGGCATGCAGAATGGGCTGAAATGAGCATTTTTCTGGGTTCCACACACGTCCCCCAGCCATTTCTGGGGTTAAACCACCTTCCTTTACGTCCTGCTCTCAAACCTTCTGGGCTTTCCAGGGGGCTGTTCCTACGGAGAGACACCACAGGACGTTGTGCCCGGTGCAGCTGGCTCCCAAGTCCTGGAAAAGAGGTCGTGCTCCTTGGTTTCCAGCGTGAGATGGGATCTGAGCCCCGGGCTGGTTTCCGGTTACTGCGTCCCGAGCCGCTCGCCCGCCCCGACGTCGCTGAGGTGTCTCCCACCACCCGTATCTGCTCCATCTCCTCATCACGTTTCCCTCAGATCCTCTCAGGATCTCAGTTAGGGAAATAACTCTTTTAACAGTTTCCTTTTAATCTGCATGGGTTTAGAATCCTTCCGCCATCGCTTGCCCAATAACTAAATTCACACTTTTTAAGACTCATTAAGCTCTCCAGGATTCTTAATGACGATTCTGAGATCTGGATTCAGAATCTCCTTTTTTTCTGCTGCCCCAAAGTCCCGGTTCTTCCCACCCTCCTGCCTGGTTGGCTGGAGAAACACCCCGCGGCCCCGGGAAAGGTGAGGTCTCTCCTTGGGAAGGCCCCGCTCTCACCCGCGGGGTCTCAACGTCTGTTTTGACCCAAAAATGGGCCTTTTTGGGGCAGAGGGAGCAGAGCCGCGGCCGAGCCGGTGCCTCAGAGCTGCTTCCCCACCCGCGCGGGGCCGCTCCGCTCCTTCCACCCCCACCCCCGCTCGCCATTTGGGAACCAAACCTCTGGCGAAAGATAATTAAACCCCCCGTTAAAACCCGCGGGACGGGCAACCGGCCGCTCCGGTTCATGCCCCGGTACGCCACGACGGCC